CATGTGACTCCACCCTTTCTTTGTGTATGCTCAATAAAAGAGTCATCCAGACTATGCTCTGGGTCGTCTCATCCCGGGGGAAGACTTGTGTCTGTGTCTTCCTTCATCATTGGCCTCATGGGCGACCCGCGGAGAAATCGCAATTGATGATTGCTATTCTAAAAAACAGGAAGTTCCTGTTCGTACTGTATTGTATAAATGTGATGTACGTCTAATTTTTGTGTGTGTGTATTTTACATTTTTGTTAATAAAAATCTTTTTTAAAAGGGGGGGGGGAGAAAAAACTGGATGCTGGATTCCAGGTGTGGCCTTACTAAGGCTTTACAAAGCACTACTAATCCTTCACCTGATTTTGATTCTACACCTCTGTTAATACAACCCAGGATCGTATTAGCTTTTTTTGGCTGCTGGCTCATATTCAAGTGACTATCATCAATGCGTGTAGGAGATATGAGCCAGGAATCTTTCTTTCCTCTCCTGTAGGATGGGTACCATTCAGACAACCGTCTTCATCACCTACTGGTACTAAGAGCCGCGCGGGGGAAAAGCATCTTTTATTTTCAAAAGAAAAAAACAAAAGTTTGCCATTTTTGCCAGCAGAAAAAAGCAACCGTCTTTCCCCCCCCCTTTTTTGCTAAAATCGTTTCAACATCAGGACGCTGAAAACACCCATCCTCCCCGTGGATCCCACGGGAAATCAGGAGATGGGCTTCGAACACGTTGAATTCAACGCGTGTTTGAAAAACCCAAACTCGCCAATTTTTTTTTCTTTAAAAAAGGAGCGTTGCGAAGGCCAAAGCCGCTTCCAAAACGGACCAATCAGAGCGCGACCTCTGCTATAAATAACAGGTGCCGCGACTCCGCAGCTTCAGTTGAAGTTCCGCGGGCGTGGGAGAAGGACGTGTTTTCGGGATGGCTGAGGTAGCCCCGGCTCCGGCGAAGAAAGCGGCGGGCGCTGCGAAGGCGCGGAAGCCGGCCGGCTCCAGCGTGACGGAGCTTCTGATGCAGGCGGTGACGGCTTCCAAGGAACGCGGCGGCATCTCCTTGGCCGCGCTGAAGAAGTCCCTGGCGGCGTCGGGCTACGACGTGGAGAAGAACAACAGCCGCGTCAAGCTAGTCCTAAAGAGCCTGGTGACCAAGGGGACGCTGCTGCAGACGAAAGGCACGGGAGCTTCGGGCTCCTTCAAGCTCAACAAGAAGCAGGCCGACCCCAAGGACAAGGCGGCCCGCAAGAAGCAGCAGCCGGCGAAAGCCAAGAGCGCCAAGAAGCCCACCAGCGCCGCCGCCAAGAAGGCGAAAAAGGCTCCGGTTGCCGCCGGGGCGAAGAAACCAGTTAAAAAGGCGGTCAAGAAACCCACCTCGGCGGCCAAAAAACCCAAGCCAAAGGCGAAAAGTCCCGCGAAGCCCCTGAAGGCGAAAGCCAAAGCGAAGCCTAAGGCCGCCACGAAGGCCAAAGCCGCCCCTAAAAAAAAGAAGTGAAGCCTCGGGCGGCTTCGCTTTTTTCAACCCCCAACGGCTCTTTTAAGAGCCACCCAAATAAGTCTTGGGAAAAGAGTGGAGCACTGGCGGACCGGTGTGAAGACTACGTGTGTACTCCCTTCGGTTTGCTTTGGAGGGGGATATCGCCGGGCGGAAGCAACGGCTAGGTAGCGTGGCCGAGCGGTCTAAGGCGCTGGATTAAGGCTCCAGTCTCTTCGGGGGCGTGGGTTCGAATCCCACCGCTGCCAAGAAATCCTTTTATTTGTTTGTCCTTCCCCGCACGCTTCACTTTTAATTTGTACACCTAATAGGACTTTTGGAGAATAAAAGTGAAATGCATTACTACACATAAAACTCGAAAAATGAGGTTCCCCCCCAACCCCGTTATTTTGGGGACAGCAGCAAATTCGAGTCTATCCAAAGCAAATCGGGTGTAGGAAGCTTCAACTTCCAACCCAAAGCAAAATGTAACGGGTCGTTCTCGCGTACCCAGCCACCGACGAGGGTGGGATTCGAACCCACGCGTGCAGAGCACAATGGATTAGCAGTCCATCGCCTTAACCACTCGGCCACCTCGTCGCCTGCTAGTCGAAGCCTTGCGGTTTTCTCCAGCCCCAAATTAACACGTGGAAAAGAAACAAAACAAAACATTCCCACTTGATGTGTATTCAATGTGCGTTAAACGTGTATTCAAATGGAACGGTTGCCTGCTGTTTCTTAAGTCTCTCTTTTTCCACCCGGTATTATTTCGAAATTGGGCTTTAAAGCAAGAATGGGATTGGCTGTCCTGACTATCCTTAACTCCTTAATCTTCTTATCCAATATTTCTTTCCTTCTGGGCACTTCCACCACATGTGCTAATAGGTTCCCTGCTTCTGTTTACATTCCCACCATTCCCGGTTTGGAAAACATTGCGAATTTTGCTGGGGGGTAAATACCAACATTTTATATAAAGACAAAGACATGAATTGTTTCAACTCCCAGCCTCAAAAACGACACACTAGAACAACTAGACACAAGAACAGTCCCTCCCTCCCTCCCCACAACGCCATCACTCTGCTAAACAAATAATTCCCTCACTACTGTCAAATTATTCACTAAGGCTACATTACTATTACTATGAATCTCATCGTTGCGATCATCCATCTCCTCCCACTTAGGACTGCAGGACTGTAACTTTGTGGCTTGTATCCTTATGATTTATATTGATATTGACTGTTTCCTGATTGCTTATGACTATCATTAAATGCTGAACCTTATAATTCTTTACAAATGTATCTTGTCTTTTTATGTACACTTGAGAGCATGTGCACCAAAGATAATCACTCTTGGCCAATAAAGAATTCTATTCTATTCCATTCCATTCCATTTTCTATTCTATTCTATTCTATTCCATTCCATTCCCTATTCTATTCCATTTTCTATTCTATTCCATTCTATTCTATTCCATTCTCCTATTCTATTCTATTCTATTCCATTCTCTATTCTGTTCTATTCTATTCCATTCCATTCTATTCCATTCCATTCCATTCTATTCCATTCCATTCTATTCTATTCCATTCTCCTATTCTATTCTATTCTATTCCATTCTCTATTCTGTTCTATTCTATTCCATTCCATTCTATTCCATTCCATTCCATTTTCTATTCTATTCCATTCTATTCTATTCCATTCTCCTATTCTATTCTATTCTATTCCATTCTCTATTCTGTTCTATTCTATTCCATTCCATTCTATT